CAGCCATTAAAAAATTAAAATAATCACAGTGTTATAAAATTAAGTTAAAAATCAATTCCTTCTGGTAAAGTTCCTGCAATACGAGCACGTTCAACATTGGCATAGTATTCTGAGAAGTCAACATAAGGTAAAATTGGAACTGGTGAGGCACTAATAGGTTGAGAAAACATTGCATCAGAAGAACTTTCCTCGGTGGTAGATGAGTCGTTTGTGTAAGGCATGACTGAAACAGTGCTGGTTCCCACTGAGCCACTATTTCTTAGAGTACTACCTGAGTGATATTCTGAATCACCAGAAGGAGAGACAGGTGAAGTGGCTGAAAGTAAACAAAGTTAAAAAACATGAAATTATTGCAGCCCATTTCTTTGGCGACATAATTCATTTTGCTAATAGTGTACCTGCACCTGTATCACTTTCTGACTCCATTATATGGACCTTAGGAAAGGACTTTGGAGGAAGTGCATTTGGCATTTCAAAATTAAAGTTCCGTATAACTAGTGTCATATCATCCCGTCTTCCTTTAGGACCACCTGCATAAAATGAGCATTCACATTTAAAGTGATGAGTTACATATGCAAGTAAGAATTGAAAATGTGGGGGGAAAAAATAGATCTGAACATAACATAATTTCCTTACCAGAAGGAGGAGAATCTATCTCTCTACTTAAGTTGTTACACATAAAGACATCATGATGAATCCTACCGATTCGATCAACAACTGCTTGAGCAACACCAGTAAGTGTAGACTGGGTCCGAAACTGAAAAGATGTTAAGGAATATTTACCAATTTCAGTGCACAAAATTATGAAACACAATAAGAGTATGAACTGTAGCAGAGGTTGTAACTGTAACCCCTCCAAATAAAAGAAGGACAAACCAGTGCTCACACCGGCCTTCTGATAGGCACTGCTGATTCACAGATGCTCTTCAACCGGAGGTTGCAGTGAGTTTGTACTTTTCATAATTCTGGATCTGCATCCTAAGATTTGCCTGTTTTAATTATATGATAAGGAACTTACCTCACTTACAGCTAGCTGTGCCAGTTCCTTGTTAACCTGATCAGTTCTTGTAGCACTTTCTAAAGATTTATAAACTCCATCAGACATCAGCATCAGAAACCTAAAGGTTTGCACCCAGAGTTGGTTAAATACGACATTCAAGTCAATTAAAGTCAGACCAAATGAACTCAAGTTAACCATACCTACAACTTTCATCCAGTGGAATGCCTCCATGAACTTGTGGCTCAGCAATAACAGGCTCTGACACAGAAGATGCGAGTTCATCCATTTCTTTGTAGCCTCCTTTGACTAGATAATTCCCAATACAACGTGAATTTTCTTGATTTCCAAGACGATTTTCTAGCACAAACAATAATACACTTTATTGACAGTCAATTACTTCAAATTTCATTTTTTTAAAAATTAAAATTTAATTTAAAGTTAAAATTCATACCTTGTTTGATTAGATCAATATCAAGGCCCAATTGTTGTAACCTTAGTAATTCATCTTCATTATACAAATTATGGTCAACGCTTAATTCCAATACCCGAAGGACTCCATCTGAATCTGCCTTACATAGTAATGCTCGACATTCTCCTACATTTGCTACAAACAAACGGCCTTTAATTATCAATGCCACCACAGCAGTAGTTCCACAAGAAAGTTCGCTGGTTAACGTCCTCAGCCTTTCAACCTGGATATAATTAATAAATGAATTAACAATTTTGAACGGAAATATCATTATACCACAAAAAAACAGATTTTACCACATGAGGGTATTTGTTGTACGCTTCATATTCTGACAGGTCCTCAGGAATATCCATCTGTAGCTTAGCCCTCTCTGCCAGACGGTCATCTATTGATTGCATATAGCTCTTTTCAACAGAAAGGAAAGCTTGCCTGTAAATAAAAATGATTGTAATGATTGTATTGTAGATCAGTGATTTATAGTCTAAAAAGATAGGAAATATTACCTTAAAACTTCTTTGATTTCTTCATCAGAAGTCTTTCCTTCTAGCTGTCCAAATAAAATTTCAAACACCATTCTCTGAAGAGCAAACTGTGCAGCCTCTCCCCCTTCATGTCCATTGAATACGCCATAAAGGTAAATGTCATTATCAATGCGTATGTGGAAACTTCGATCTTCACAGGGATGATGTTCTTGGCGATTGCCGTCTTCTCTGTACAACTGATTCGTAGATGAACCAACTCCTTTCATTCAAAGAGATACATTTTTTTTTGGTTAAAAGACATTACAAAGTGTTATTCGAGTAGGGTGAAAAACGATTAATGAATTTACCAGAAAGTCTGCAAACCGGTAGATGGTCAGTCCACATATTATCATATGGTTTATGGCTGGAACTAGGAATTTCTGCTCGAGTAGGCATCTTGATCAGGAAAGAAATTATATTTCTGTACGTCAACAAGTATCATTCATTACAATGAAGCCATCGTATAATAAATAATTTCCATGATTATTTTTATTTATCTTATCAAGCCATGTTATTGACAAATTGTATTGTGACAAGTACCTTGACTGGGGACAAAAGTATTGGAAATCTTGATAACCACCCAAAAACCTGATGACCTGTTGTGTAGTTAAAAAGACATTTCACATCATGGTATGTCTTTAAAATATAATAAAAATAATGAATGAGTTGATTTTTTGATATTTGTTGATATTTGCTGAGTGAACAAGAACAACAAAAACCAAAAAAAAACATTACATTTTATTCATATTCACATTCACTTAAGGAAGGAAGTGTATGAGAAATCTCGTTGTCACAAGTTTTGATAAGATATAAGGAACATTGGACTAGCTAATCTTGTTAATCTCTTGGATTTTGACAAGAATCTCAGGAAAATGAATGTAAATATTGTTAACAGTTTGAAAAACTCTCTATGGTGCGTTTCAAGGAACAAACTAGTCGACTTGCCAAGAACTCAGGTATGCCCCAACATACTTCAAGAGAGTATTAACCTCGCATGCACTGTGTTCTCTGTTGTATTTCAATGTGTCTCACTTTAATTTACTCATATTTTTGTATCATCAGCCTATACAGCTTTTCCTGAGAAAGTCTTCTGATTCTCCTAAAGTCCCCAAAAATGTTATTGGTCACATATACTCCGCATCTAGTCAAGTTGAGAATGGTAAAGTGTATGATCGCAAGCCCTTCAAGATCAGATTATACCCTAAGAAAGATTATATGTGGTGTTTGTGCGGCTACAGTAAGTCCCAAGTGAGTACTATAGTGGATTCGTCCCTTTTAATGATCTGGTATTCCTTTGACCTTCTAATTTTTTGATTCATCCTACTTCTATGTAACATTTTTCTTTTTCTTCAGCCAATCTGTGATGGTTCGCACAAGTGGCCTCAATATAAGTGTGAGTTGAAACCAATTAAGTTTAGAGTCGAGGAGGAAAAAGATTATTATCTGTGTAATTGCAAACAAACAAAGCTAAGACCATTTTGTGATGGCACTCACAAGGGACTGTAATTCCCTTTCTTATTTCAACCTGATTAGCAAAGTAATACCATGAGCTTAGATAGAATAACTGAAGTATCTACAGTATGTGTATGACTTTTGCATTCTGAATGAACTCAGCAGCAGTTTCTGCTTAAATTTATCATACACTGAAAATTTGCGCTAGAGACTCTTTTTCCAGTTTTATATTGTTGCATTTTCTTTGTTCATGTTTTGGAGCACTTGTTTTTGAAAAGTTCAATAAGATTATTTACTTTTAAAAGACAACAGTTTGTTCTTTTGATTTTCTTTTAGCAAAGTCAATCAAACATCTGAGAATGGAGACCATGCAAATAATTCTGCATAGGGTACGAATAAATAATTTTTTATTCCAACAACCAACACCAAAGGAACAATATCAAATTGTCCTTAACCTTTTAGTTACACCAGAAGATAATTATCTTCTCAATAATGTTTGACACACAGTGGCAAGAAGTATCGAATATCACTTTTAGGAGTCATGGTTTGTCCTAAATTAAACATTGTGATGAAAACATACTACCGTATACTATCACATAACAAGTTTATATCACAGTTCTTCCAGGTACATCTGATAAGCTAGCTTCAACTTCCGCCTTAAAGCTGCCGTGCGATTGCGTAGAAGTGCAAATTCTTTCTTTAAGAGAACATTGGAAGAATTATTTCTGAGCTTCAAACGTAACTCATCTCTGTGTTCAACCATTTCCAAAAACTCCTCAGTAATCCACGGGTGCCTTTTAATGTATTTAGATTTTTGTGATTCTCTCCCATTTGAAAGCTTGTCACTAGTACAGCACTCGTTAGCTCTAACTTCTTTGCTACCTCCTCTTACGGAAATTTTTTCAATAGGTGTCTGCATATCTTGGTTTACTACAGATTCGTTAAAATCACTTGTCTCATTATTTTGACCTGCTAAATTTTCTTTGTGTTTGATCTTTGTTTCTATTTCCACATTATTGTTTTGTTCTTGCTGATCATTCATATTATCATAGGTATTTGCAGACATGTCTTCCTTCCTGCTCATTAATCATATCACTAACTAGATATAACAAGAAACCTGCAAAAATATAAAGTTTGAATAGCAATGACTCCCAAGAAAGTCTATCTCGCCAAAATGTTACACTGAAATCTCTGCCATTTCTTGTCAAGAGAAATTGATAAGATAAGCTTATGAGGTGTTGACAGTGGTAAAGAGTAACTTAGCTTATAATTATTTGAGAATCCCATTAACAAAGAGTTGTGAGGAGATCAGAAAAGAGCAATGACCCATTCATTCCATGAGTTACCTGATTCTGCCATTGATCCACAACATATGTGATTTAGGGCACCACCATATCAATATCAATCCCACAGGTGTGCCTTGAGCGAGGCTCAACCAGGTGTGAAAGTCAAGTGGGCCAGCAGGTGTCGCGGGGTGCGGCTTGGGGGCCCAAAGAGTTCTTGTTTTGTCGCACTCCCGGCGAGTGTTTTGAACAGTGCGAGGTTGGCAGGCCACTTCCTGTCACTGCCCCCTCGCAACCACCTAGCGAAAACGCCGGTCCGTTTCTGCGTTTTGTGTAGGGCTGTGGCCCGTAGCAGACGATGTTTATTGTGGCACCGAGTCCGTCTGCTGGCTGAACCAAACACAGTTACCCGTCAAGGGGCGTGCACCGCTTGCACCGAGCCTTCCGTCGCTCCGCGCTTCGTCCAACAAGTTTGAGGGATTTGGAGCTGTGCGTGCCTCGTCCGAGTCCTGCCAGCCTGGACCGTTGTCCTCCCCGAGGCCCTCGGGCCGAGGGTGTGAGATGAGGGGCGGCAGAGGAGGTGTGTCATCGTGAGGGCGGGCGCGGGCGCCAGTCTGTCCAGCATCGATCTGTCATGCGGCATTGGATGAGGTAAGTATTGGCGCGCTGCCTAGGGGCTGCCTAGCACTGAAGCCAGAGGCTGCAGAGGCTGGGTCATTATTGATGTAGGAGAACAGATTAGAACAGTTCACAGTCGCCAAAACGGGCGTGTGTTGATGAACGCATTAAGACACGATTAAGGCACAATATTTGCTTACCAAAGCTTGTCGGAGTGGTCCAGATTAATCTACAATGGCGAATTTGGTGTATAATCAAGAGCTGTAATCGTTCGGACATGAAGATGTCACCGAGCGACATTATCACGATTTTCTTGTAAATTTGAGTGTTGGGTCTGTTGACATTATTCTAACCGGGGGGGGGGGGGGGGGGCTACTCGACTCGGGTGGTGAAAAGATGAGTCACTGAGAGCGAGCGAATATTCGGGGAGGAGCACGGGGTGGTGCGCTTGTGCGCTGCCCCCCCCCCCTTTCTCCAATGGATAAACAGTGCCCCCACGACTCCCCCTCCCTTCCGGGCCGTGGGGTTCGAGACGTGCCGATACCGTGATATGCGCCGCGCCGTCTCGGTCGAATGGCACATGCCGGCCGAACTGGAGCAGGGCTCTGCGGCAGGCCCTTATCATAGGGAAACAACGACACCATTCTCTGCCCCGCGCCCCGCCTGGGGTGCGCGCGCGATTGGAGAGCTCACGGTGAGCTCACGGAGTGCGCCTTTTAGACCGCCTTCCAAACCGCTTAAATGCGATAAGGGAGAATGGGGGGGGGGTAGAAATTAATGTTCTGTCTACGTTTTTCACGCGAGCTCTCCGTGAGCCCTCCAACCGCAGTCCTGGTAACCCGGGCTCCTCGGAGCTGATGCCGAACACCCCAACCCCGTATGACGCGGCCATGTCACCGCCGCAGTCTTGAAGCAGCCGGTCCGTATTGGGCTGGGCTTGGAGGCAAGTGATTCACAGAATTCACCACAACACCACTCCGCGGATGGAGGCGTGAGGGTGCGGCAGGGATCCCGGCAGGGGCTCGACGAGCACTTTATCCCGGTGTTTTCCGCGGAGTCCGGGGTCCCTCGTCCTCCCTCTTGCCGCCTGCTTCGCTCCCCTGTAAGAACCCCAGGGGTTCAACCCCTCCTAGGGCAGTGCCCCCGCCGCGGTCCCGTGCGTAACGCAGCGCCAGGGTCGAGGCCGTGGGGC